TTTGAAGCTGATAAATGAAAATTCTAATTCTAATGCTAAAGGCTTGTGTCAACTGTCATGCTCGAATTGAAAAAGATTGCAAACTAAATTTATAATGTAAATAGTTTCATAATATTACATGCAAGGTTATTAATTAAAATATTTTGTATACCAAGAACGGAGGAATATTTAGCCATGGCTAGAATATCCCAAACATAAATAGCATAAAGAATAGATGACCAAAACATTCTTTGCCGCGGCTAGGGTTTTCGATAAATCATAACACACTTATGCATTAAAAGTTGGTCGAAGTACAGTGGTCGCGGAGAAGGTCCAAAAAAGCAATATACAAATTTCTTTTGTATTTAAGAATGCCTAAACCATTTTTTTTGAATTGGTTTATAAATACGATAAATAGTATGATTCACTTATGCTCGAGATAATCGAAAACGGATTTGCTATTCATAAAATATTTTCATTACACGATGAATGATCTCTCGCAGCGATGCACTGGTATCCCAAGAATGGCTGATTTATTTCAATAATTTTGTACTTAAACGCTCGATCCATGCTTGATTATCTTGAGTTTAAACAAATCCTAAAGTTGTAGCATTCGTTTAAGCACAAAATCAGCGAAGTTGAATCAGCTGTTCTCGAGTTGTAAAAAATAAAATGTAATGTGTACAATTATTTCCGAATTTTTCCGATACCACTGTACCTATTTAGCTTGTGGAATCTGACATGGAATAATGGAAAAAGATCTAAAGTCTTCAAAGAAATTAATATTTTAATGACAGCTATACTGGTTACCCATTATAATGGAGAATTGCTTAGCTTTCAATAGGTAGGTAGCTTAAGAGAGAAATACTTGAAATCTTGTGAAATCATAATTATCCAAATAGCATATACGTTTTATATAGAGGGTCAAGATCGATATACGTGCATATAGATGCCGATTTTTGAATAATGTTCTTATTAAAATGCTTTATTACAAGCACACTCTACAAACCAACATCTATCTTGACACCATTATTATATGATTTATAAATATAAACCTTATAAAAATCATCTATTATTACAGTGGATACCACTCAAAGTCAATATATTTTATATAATATATATAAATTCTAAAATCTAAATTTCACAATGACATCTAAAACAAAACTTACCTTCATGATTAAATATTACCTGCCAAGTTTAAATAAACGACTTTTTTATTATTTCAAAAATTACGATCATTCTTCAGCAAAAGCAACCAGTTCTTTATTTTCTTCAACTAAATCACCAACATTATAATAAACTTTTTCAATCTTGCCAGTAAATGGAGACTTTACTACATGCTATGAATAAATAACAGATTAATCGAAAAAATTGAATCTTTGTTATAATTATGCGGCAACAACTATATATTTATGATTATATATAAAAATTACCTCCATTTTCATTGCTTCTAACACCAATAAAGGCATTCCCTTTTCAACTGTTTGTCCAGGTTGAACAAGTACCTTTATGAAAATATATAATTTAACATTATTAAATGGAAAAGCAAAATCGTTAAAATTCTTAAAATTCTTAAAATTTGTTTAAAACCTGAGAAATTTTGCACGGCATTGGTGTTTTAATAGAATGTGCCATATCTAAAACACCTGAACTAAGATATAAAGGTTCTGGGATATGTAAAACTACTTTTCCATCCTAAATTATTATGAATCAGTATTTCTTATATATACCAATAAAAAAATATACATATACATTATGTATATAAATAAATCACAAACCTGATCGAAGATAATTAATCTATTATTTTTTTCTATTATGATATGACTTTTAAACCGTATACCACCAATATCTGCTATAATCTGCTTTTCTACTTCATCCCAATGACCAGTAACATGCTCAAATTTAATTAAATTATTTTTTTCCATGTTTAATAGCAATGTCAAATGAATTATCCTGTAAATATTTTATATCAACATATATATGAACATCATTTTGGCCATGGAATAAAATATTTCGTTCATAATGTGCATTAAGACGATAGCCGAAATATGATGCCCAAGGCGAATATGGATCTATAATCAAATGAACATTATTTAAAATAAAATAATACCTATTCAATTAGAAAATTACTATTTTTTACCATGGTGTTTTGCTATTTCCATCATGGTTATGCCAAATTCTATTTTAGTATTTAAAATAAAAATTAATTTATCACCAATGTGATACATCGCTACCTCTGATTGACTAGTTATTTGATTTGTTTTGATTTCACATTAATCAAAAACAAAACAAAAGGCAACCAGACTAGAGCTAGGGTTTAGCGAAGTAATAGCTAAAGAAGTCTCTAACCTAAAATTTTACCAAAAAATGTAAACCTTCAATTAATTTTTACACCTAATCCTGCATCTTAATTGGTTGATCAGAAGATAATAATATATTGCATTAACAATGAATAATAACTCATAAATTAATATTAAAAAATTAAATTTTTTAAAATTAAATTTTTACTAAGTTAGGATTTATTAAACTAAATAAAGTTGTAAAGAAGATTTTGGGGTTTAATAATAATTAGATCAAAATTGGCTAGTAGATGTCAAAATATTAAAGACATGAATATGAGGATTTGCAAATTATCAATTATACAAAATATTATAGGCTATAATATATATTTTGTTTAACTGGCAAATTGCAGAGCTCTATGTTCTCATCTTAAATATCTTGAGATCAACCAAGCCAATGTTGATAATCTAACCACAGTTAGAACAAAAAATCATCTTTACAAAATCTAACAAACCCTAACTTAATAAAAATTCTTTCAATTTTTAAAAAATTAATTTTTTATATTAATTTTTATATTAGTTAAAATTAATATGATATTAAATAATAAAATAGAAACTTCTATATACCATGTGGAATAGCAAAATACCATTGTGACAATTGTAATTCCGTTCAATTATTATACGTAAAATAGTACCAAATGATCTGATAGCAGCGTTCTTTAATTCTTGATGCTCCTTCAAGATTAATGACAAAGCAGCTTGAGCAATAACATAAGATGATACTTCTGGGTTAGGTGCAAATAATTCTTTTTCATGTTTCTAAAAAAAGTATAAATATGAGAAAATGAAGTGTCATTTTGATAAGTACATAAAATATCCTACCGCAATAAATCCAGTTTCAACATCTCCTTGTATGAAAGCAGGATGCGAAACTATTCTTTTCAAGAATTCTATATTTGTACTTAATCCAACAATCTTTTAACATTATATTAGAATATATAAATAATTAACTTTGTGCATATAAATAAATAATTTTGTAC